GTTTTTGGTTTTTTAAAAATTTTTTGGGGAGGTGGGGAACCCCCCCCCCCCCCCCCCCCCCCCCCCGACAAACAACAAAAGAGAGGTGTTCAAGTCGTGGAATGGTGTTCATCATGCCACGCGGCAGGAGGACGAGTATACCGGCCACCACGCGCACTATAGCATAAGCGCGTACTGTATAACGGTCGACAGTGTCCACGAAGCAGTTTTCACTTCGAATTTCACTTCGAACTGTTTGTGAGGGCATGGGTTTATCGTTACATGTTGAGACGTGCAGGAGCTTTGCTTTGACGGTCGGGGGGGGGGAAGGGGGCATTCGTGAAACACGATGGGGCTAGGATCCACCAGGTGTCAGAGTCGACAAGAAAAAGCATGCATACGTCAAAGGAGGCAGCGACGACGCGTGAAAGTAGTTCTAGCATCGCACTCGCCAAAACAATTACCATCATCAGCGACACTGTAAATCACACCAGTCACATTGCACGGAACCCGCAGGAGTCATGTATGCCTTCATGGCTACCTGAAACCAGGGGCTATGTTTTCGAAGGGACGCTGTGCACCACCAACTATCGTCAAGATGTTGTGCTACGCTTCCTCCAGGCTGGATAACTTTTCGTTGTGCACATTTGTTTTTCACAGATCCCTCTTGTGTCCCGCCCCTTCCCGCCTTTATATCCCGTCCTCTTACCAGACGAACGGGTACGTCAACTTCTGCGCCGACGAGTCTGACCCACCCCTTGAACACCAAGGAGATCGGCACCGGGCGAAGAAGGTGACGCGTGGCTTTCAGACGGTGCCGTACAAGGACCTGGCGGATGGATGTCGAGAGTACGGTTTCGAGCGCAAGCACCTGTATGGCGTGATGGGTATCCTGATCACCGCGGGAATCACCCAGAAGCGGCGGATCACCGATCACTGGGGAGCGGAAGCCCATGACAACTACCCCGTGGTCCGTGCCTGTATGCCTCGAGACCTGTTTGTCCTGTTCTACGGCCGCTTCTTCCACTTGGCCCCGGCCACCGGCAAGCTGAACAAGGACGATCCCCAGTACGACTGCAAACACCACATCAGGTATGCCCGATAACGTGTATGTTTCGTTTCCCTCGGATGTGTTGCCTGCTCCGCCCCTTCAGCACAACGGCCTAAGATATGTATTCCCCAAACGTGAAAAATAACGAAGTATGTACTAGAAGAAACGTTTCAATAAGAAAACAGAGGAGCGACCCCTAAAAAAGAATACTTTACTGTTCGTAAGACACGAGGGGTTGCGGGGGGGGGGAGTGTTTGTGTCGAATAATAAAACGCAGAAAGATACACCAAGCAAACAGCTTTTGTCTCTCTCTTCCCTCTCTCCAATGTGCTACCCATCCCCTCATATGAAGTTCATGAAAACGGACCCCTCAGGCCCGCGGGCAGTTGCGTTGTCGTAAAGTGTATGTCGTTGTCGGAGCGTGAAGTGCCCATAACGACGCCGGCCCAAAAATACGCCGGGTAGCTCGGCAGATGCTGTGTTTCGACGGTATAATGTTTCCCGACGAAACAAGTGTGCCCTCCGTCAGACCGCGTACGATGACTTGTTCGAATGTGACCACAAAACATATCTGCTGCTCTTGGCAGGAAGCTGGAGGACGTGTTGAACAAGTGCTGGAGCGAGCTTGTGGAACCGGGCGCATGGCTATCGTACGACGAGCAGATGGTTAAGAGCACGGCGAGAGTGATGTTCGCGCTCATGAGGTTCAACAAGGGGAAGCTTATCAAGCACGGTGAGGTTGAAATGGAATACCCGAGTAGTTGGTGGGGGGGGGGGGGGGTTATCCCTTGTGTCTGATGTCGGTTGCATCATCGGTTCCCAGACCGTTGCATGTAAACATTGCGTTTTCGCCTTTTTTTATTTTATTTGGTGTACAACCATGAGGGTGGTCTTGTAGAACATATCGTGCTGAGTCGAGAACCCTTTGCACTCCGAACCCTCACTCCCTGCACAGGGTATGATCACACCACGTTGTATTGAAATAAGTCAAGCACCCTCGATGTAGTTACCGAGTGCTGTTGTCTCTGGGAGTTGAAGTACTGGAAAAAATAATTGCCCATTCCCAGCCTTCCTCCGAACGGACGTCAGCAAGCACAGTACGCCAAACATTAAATGGTAATATTGAATGAACTATTTACAGATTCCTGCGGGTGTGCCAAACAAAATTTGAAGTGCATCGCTTGTGTCAACTTTGACATACTGTACAGTGAGGGAGCAATGGTGACAACTCACGTGCCCGTTTTCTTTTTTTTGTTGTTCTTCGTCGGCTCCCGCCCAGGAATCAAATGCTGGGCTATTTGCTGCCCTTCCGGCTACTGCTTCGTCCAGAGCATCGACGGCGGGTTCAGCGGCGACATCGAGCTGAGGCCGTATGCGAGTTGCCCCCTTGGGCGGTCGGCACGCACGGTCATGTACGTCCTACTCGAGGCGTGCGAGACTTTCTCCAACAAAATCATCGGCAAGGGTATTACGGTAGCCATGGACAACTTCTTCACAGGAGCCCCCCTGCTGCGATGCCTCGCTACGCGCGACATTTTCGCCGTCGGGACTCTACGCGGCAACCGCATTGGAGTGGAGCTCGCCAACCACCTCTGGGCCAAGGAGGGCATGACGGCGACGGAGCGTGGGCAAATGCTGACGGCCCGCTCGGACGAGCTCGTGATCGTCAAGTGGATAGACTCCCAGGAGGTGTACCTGATGTCGACGAAGCATGTATTTGCGGACGAGTGGGAACCTCTCGCTTACGAGTGAGTACAACCGCAAAATTACGCCGCGATGATAGTTTCTCCCGGATCTGCACCCAAGCGTTGTGTACCGTTCGTGTCGCCCCAACAAAGTGATGAGTAGATTAATTGTTTCATGGTTTTCTCCCAAACAAGTTGGCGGTGTGTTGTACGGCATGATCAATGGGGGAAATATAGTGCGGTTTGGGAGGGCATGCTTCTCTGCTGGAGGTGAAAGACTCCCATCGTGAGATTGAAAGTTTGTTTTGCCT